AGTGTACATGCTCTGGTCTAGCTGGATTTGTAAGGTAGAATTGGGGTCATGATAGAGATGGGAGGAAGCATTAAAGAACTAGAGGAACGTTGTATGTTGGTCCATTTTATTTTAAGTTCAAGATGAGGACTCTTTGCAAAAGGGAAGAATCGAACAACTGGATTTCAAACAAAAAGACTACTTCAGAAATAAGTAAATAAAAGGAATTTTACTGTAAGAACTCCCTAGACAGTGCCCATCTCTAACCATGATAGTGACGTGTTGTCACGTGCTGACATAGCATCCCCTGTGTCGTTTTATTGTCAACATGTTCAACTGAAATCTGATCGTGAGGAAATGTACAAATCTGGGTTACGGGATATCCTAGAACTCATCTGGAGAACAAAGACAAAATAAATAAAGATCAGGCGTACAGTTCTAGATAAAAGCAAGCTGAAGAGATTTAACAACTGTCTCAGGTAGCTAGTGCTGCTGTACCAGAAACTGATCTGGTGGTGTTGTAGGAGGCCAGCAGTCTAAATGCAGAGTGCCACGCGGAGGGACTCTGGAAGCCCTCTGTGTGGGCTCTGGAAGAAGGCCGGCGTCTCCTTCCAGCACCTGTGGGCCCAGCATTCCTCGGAAACCTCCTTATGCCACCTCATCAGTACCCTTAGATCTAGGAGTGTCACTGTGGAGGGACCACAGGTTTAAAGGGAATGCTCGGTCCAGGCTCTTCGTTCTTGGTGGTAGTACCATATATACTCGTATGTAAGCTGAGTTTTTCAGCACACTTTAAGTGCAGTTGTTGTGGTGAAGGTACCTTGGCTGATATTTGGGGCGGCTTTTACTCAAGTATATATGGTAAGTACTCTGACCTTGACCACCTTTTCTCTCCCTTTATCACTTATAAAAGAAAAGGTGCAGTCCACACACACCCCAGGGACAATCTCCTTGCATTAGATCAGGGGCTGAGATGGGATGGGGTTGCATCCCACCCTTTATGCTCTTACTCGTTTATCACATTACCACCACATTGCATCATGACATGACTACTAGCCGCTGAGAATCATGGCCCAGTCAAGGGGACACATAGTTGTATCATTCCCATTCCTTTGGGGCAGATTGTCTGATAGGGGACCAGGTCTCAGGATGCCCATTTTGATGGGGGTTTCTGTACAGGGATCAACACTATGATCCCTGCTGAGGGCTAGACATAAATGCCCAGAGTCCAGAAGCCAGTTGAGCACCCACTGGCCTGGGTCTTACACCTCTGTCATTCAATCTCTGTCAACCAATAATGTGAAATATGATCCTTGAGTGAGTCCTGGATGTAAAAGAGAAAGGGAGAGACCGAGAAAGGAGGAGGAAAAAAGGAGGAAGAGAGAGAATGAAAGAGAGGGTATCAAGAACCTGAGGGGCACAACTGGAGAAATTCTAAAACTGTGTACAGTATATTAATGAGTGTCATTATCAACGTTAAATTTTGTGGATGTGATATTGTTGGGACTGGGAACATATTTTTGCTCTTTGGATATAAATGTGAATATACTGAAGGAGGAAGTTTCATGATACTATGATTCTATTTCATGTAATTCAGTTCAAAGGAGAGAAAGGGCGGGAGAGAGGAAGCCAATGCCCTAAAGTGTTCATGATAATCCTAGGTGAAAGGTATGTGGGTGCTCATTTGACCATTCTTCTAAATTTTCTATAGATTTGAAATATTTCTCAATGAAAAATTAGATAAGCAAAACTTCCATTTAAATAAAAATTCCATCGTTGTTTTTCCTCTTAGGACTCAGGTTTATTGGGCTGACATGCTTCAACCTCTCTATACCTAACATAACCTTTCCAAGAAACAAACTTCTGAAAACTTGCCTGTTACAATTGAGTAGCAACAAGGTCAATATTGGCTCTGCTGAACCACTAGCCTAATCTGTCTAGTGAGCAAAGTGACTTTGAAACTGTTCTGTTGGAGAGAATAAAATTGGAATCACTAGACACAAGTGACAGAGCCCAAAGTGGCAGACAATTAGGCTTTGATCTCCAGGTCATGTAAATCCCTGTATCCATTTTAGTAAAGAATCATAATATGAAATAACTTCCCCCCTTTATCCAACATGCAGAGGTGGGTTTACCATTGAAGCGCATGAAGCTTCAGGACCCCTTCCTGTGCCCTGAAAGGTCTCCACATAATCAAATCTAATTTTGACTTTGCATTTGCTCTTTTTCAAGAAGATCCCCCCAATTATAGCTTCAGACTCCTCAAACTCCAAACCCACCTGTGCAAATATTTGTTTGTTTTTGTTTGGGCCTTTAAAATCATTTTATCGAGGGCTCATACAACTCTTATCACACGCCATCCATCCATCCATCCATTGTGTCAAACGCATTTGTGCATTTGTTGCCACCAGCATTTTCCTTCTACTTGAGCCCTTGGTGTCAGTTTCTTGTTTTTCCCCTCCCTCTCCGACCCTCCCTCCCTCCTTCATGAACCCTGGATAATTTGGATAATTTGTTTTTTTTCATGTCTTACACTGACCCATGTCTTCCTTCACCCACTTTTCTGTTGTCCATCCCCCTGGGAGGGGGTTATAGGTAGATCATTGTGATCGGTTCCCCCTTTTCCCCCAACCTTCCCCTTCCCCTCCTGGTATGGCTACTTTCAATATTGGTCCTGAGGAGTTTATCTGTCTTGGATTCCCTGTGTTTCCAGCTCTTATCTGTACCCATGTACATGCTCTGGTTTAGCCAGACGTGTAAGGTAGAATCAGGGTCATGATAGTGGGGGTGAGGAAGCATTGAAGAACCAGGGGAAAGCTGTATGTTTCATCAGTGTTGTTGTTGTTTTTAATCATTTTATTGGAGGCTCATACAACTCTTATCATCTGTGTTATACTGCACCTGGACTGGCCTGTCTTCTCCCCCATGCCCTTCTGTAAGGAGATGTCCAATTGCCTACAGATTGGCTTTGGGCCTTCACTCCACACTCTCCCCACCCCCACCCCATTCACATTGACATGATTTTTTGTTCTGGGTCTTTGATGCCTGATACTGGATCCTACTGACACCTCACACGCAGGCTGGTGTGCTTCTTCCATGTGGACTTTCTTTCTTCTCAGCTAGATGGCTGCTTGTTTATCTTCAAGCCTTTAAGACCCTAGACACTATCTTTTTATAGCCAGGCACATTAGCTTTCTTCACTACACCCACTTTGTCTTCAGCGATGGTGTCGGAAAGGTGAGCATCACAGAATGCCAGGTTAATAGAACAAAGTGTTCTTGGGTTGAGGGAGTACTTGAGTAGAGACCCAATGTCCATCTGCTACCTTAATACCTGTGTGATATTTAAACAGTCCTCTCTTTCATTTTGACAGTTATTTTTCTACAACATCCACATGCTGCCTTCTGAATTGATGGATGAAATCATCAGCGTCCGGGTAAGAGGACAATACCTAGGAAAGGCCTGTCCACTGACTGCCAGGTGTAGGTGGTGACGTTTTCACCTCTCTTCTTTCTTCCAGGTTTATAATTCCCATTCCTTGCGGGCAGATTGTCTGATGGGGGAATTTAAGGTAGGTGTTAGCAGTCAGCTACATTTAATGATGGGCACCTTTATAACTGGCAATCTGATTCCTGACCAGGTTTCAGGATGCCCATTTTGATGATGGTTTCTGTGCAAGGGATCAACACTATGATCCCTGCTGAGGGCTAGACATGAATGCCCAGAGTCCAGAAGCCAGCTGAGTGTCCTCTGACCCGGGTCTTACATAATACTTCACAGTGCCCAAAGCAGTATGCTTCCAAGCTACCATATTAGGGCTCTTCCCACTGGTCCTGGAATGAAAGCCGGTTACCTACTACCAAGGAAAGTGGTGGCTGACCATGGCGACCTAACCGATGGCCTCAAAGGTCCATCTCTGAAGTCAATGACTGTAAATCTTGAGTTAAAAAGGGAAGCCAAACCAGGGAAGGGAATCAGGGTGTTTTTCTTAGTGACTCTCATTGAAATGCGAGACACATCCTTGGCTTGTAGAATGGAATGCCTCTCGAAGGAAGGAACTCCCAGGCAGTGGAAATCCTAAAGAGTGTTCTGCTTGGGCATACCTGAGTTCACACCTAATTTGCCACTAATTAGCCACATGCCCTGGGGAATTCACTTAACCTCAATGTCCCTTTGTTTCTCCACATGTCAAACCCGGTAGTGGTGCAGATTAGATAACTTCATGGAAGCACCTACTACAGTGCCTGGTACACTGAAGTACCCAACCAGTGGTTAAATTAATATTAGCATTAATTGTTGGCAGAGGAGAAGGACTGGATAGGAAGTTGGCCAGGTGACTTCCTGTAGGGTGACTCAGTCGCTCCAGCTGGGCAGGAACTGGGTGTCTTTCAGGACAGAGGACCTCAGTGCTAAGGCCAGCAAAGTCCTGGAGACCCCCAAACGAATTGGCCACTTTATTTCCCTAGTCTCTTCTAGCTCTTTGTTTCCGCAGTGATTGATCTGGGGTCTTTCATGAGACTCCCCCCTCCCCCCATCAGTGCAGGCCCTGGGGGAAGCGGGTGCAAGGCAAATACTAGGTTTCAAGAAAATGTAAGTCTACTGAAGGGCAGTGGACACGAGGAAGCCCCTTGACAAGAAGGATTGACACCGTGGCTACTACAGTGGGTTCAACTAGAAGTTGTGAGGTGGCCCAGGGCTGGCACTCAACAACAACAGCAAGGGCATCAGAGTTAAATATAATAATGATGATTTCTTTAATGTGACTGGACTGATTGCAGAATCTATGTGGACTACTTTAACTTCTCTCCCTCTGCCCCCCAGATTGATATTGGATTCGTTTATGATGAACCTGGTAAGTAATGTTTTCCCCATTACCTTGGAACCTGAAGTCCATTCCTTCTACCTGGTAAGAGAATTCTAGGTCAATGTCTTTTAGACAGAAAGAAAAGTGGTTGCTAATGTGATAGAGGGGGGCACTTAGCTGGAATGAATAAACAGTACTAAGGGTTGGGCTCTAATCTTTTCAATCTAACGGTAATGCTCATAACATTCATAAATAGTCAGCAGCGTTGTAAGGCTAGTTTGATCATATCAAAAACTAAAAAAATAAATAAGAGCCAGTTCATAGAGCTTAGCTGGTCTTGTTTGGATCACCTCAGGGCAGGATGGTGGGGGCAGAGCAGGAAACATAAATAGGGAGCCAGTTGGGGAGTCTGATGTGTCACAAGTTAGACTTCCGCGGAAATACTTGTTTATGTTACAGCAAATACAATCACCGGCCTGTCTCTGCAGAGTGTCTCTGTTTACTCCCTCTTGACTCTAGGTCATGCAGTCATGAGAAAATGGTTGCTTCTCAATGATCCAGAAGATACCAGCTCAGGTGCTAAAGGTTACATGAAAGTCAGCATGTTCGTCCTGGGAACCGGAGATGAACCTCCCGTGAGTCTCGAGATGCTCCACCTTGCACATCATTCTTTACTAAAAAGGGGCCAAGAAGGAAACAGGAAGCAAATGATTTTGACCTAGAGCCTAAATAGCACGCCGCCACCCCCACTCCCTACTTCTGTTTCTCCTTTAGAAGCTTTTTTTTTTATCATCACAGAAGTATGATGCTTATTAGCCCCTTAGTAACCTTCCTGGTCTTTTAATGTAGAAAAGATTGGTGTCTTTTAAGATTTCCTCACTTGCCATTTGAAAAGAATGGTTTTTATCTCTCTTGAAGAACCAGAGGGACAGGTGTTCTTTAGAGAAACTGAGCAGTGGACTCAGTGGTCAGAGAGAAATGGAGAGGGCTCTAGGAACATGCACACACCCCTGTTCATTATTTGGTGTTCTTAGAATTCTTTTTAAAGCACATTCATTTTCTTGTGGTGGATGGAGGACACATTTGAGCATAGATTCTCGAGCGTGATCTCGAAGTGGGAGGAAAGTTGGTGACTGAGCTCTTTAAGCCAGAAACAGGAAATCCTAATGGAAACAGTTTGGATGCGTTCCATTTTCCAAGCATCAATTTGGCTTCTTACAAGCACGACTGTTCGTGACCTTGCGTGTGATTCGTAACCTTGTGTACCCCAAAGCCGGAGAAACGGGATCGTGATACCGACAGTGACGACGTGGAGAGTAATTTGTTACTCCCTGCCGGCATCGCCCTCCGGTGGGTGACCTTCTTACTGAAAATCTACCGAGCTGAGGACATTCCCCAGAGTATGTATTGATCGAATCCTGCCCTGGAATCAGTTTGCTGTGATTCATTATGATCAGAAGCTTTAAGTCATACTCTGCATAGTGATTGGAACTCTCTATCACGTTGGTTTGTTTTCTTGACCTTCATGGTCTTGTTTTCATGCCTTCTGACCTCAACTGAAAGCTACCTGAGAAACCAATGGATCACTGATTTCTGTTCTTTGTTGGGGACCTGCCTTTGGCCCATTCTGCTCTATCCCTTCCTCCTCCTGGGGTCCTTATCTTTTTTTCACTCCAGAGCATACTAAAGAAAAGTCCCTCAATTCCAACATCTTTCACCCCAAGTGAAAATGTGAAATTTTATAAGCCAATAAATATGTGTGTTATCGGATTCTGTGTTAGACAGGGTTCTTTAGAGAAACAAAACCAGGATACTTATGATGATAGATAGATAGATAGATAGATAGATAGATAGATGGATACAGCATGAAGGAATATAACAGCTAATTAGCCCACACAGCAGTATAGAGGGCTCAGTTCAACTCACTTCTGTGGAACAGTTCATATACTGGAAGTCCTTCAACTCACTAGGGCTGCTGGGTCCAAGGGCAAGGAAGCAGACTGCTGAGTCTTCCTTCGAGCAATGCAGGCAGTTTGGCTACAGGCAGTAAACAGCAGGGTGGGTCACCAACAGTCAGCCAGATGACAGGATCGGACAGTCCCAAGTTCAAGTGATGCATAAACCAGCAGCTTGCTGAAGCAGGTCTTAAAGGAACCTCAAGCTCTAGTGACACGATCCACGGGTTGGGTGTCCCACAGGTAGTGTAGCTCAAGTTGAAGCAGAGAACCAGCTAAGGCAGCCACACACTGGTCTGATAATCAGAGAAAAAGAGAGAGAAAGGCAGGGCTTGCCCTCCAATCAAACTGTGACCTTATTAATCCTACATGTTCCTATTGGCCAGGTTGGCACAACAAACCTACCTATCACAGATTACTAAAAATAGCCCGGCCAAGAGACTAATAAAACTAAGCCTATTAAGAAGTCCAAGTCTTCTACTTTTGTACTGTGAAGTATGTTTCTCAATAGATTGGATACATTTCAAGGCATTACTTACATTGTTTCCATTTATAGGGACTAGTCCAGTTACTCCTCCGTCCTTGCTGATAACCCAGCACTCTATCTGCCTTGCCTACCCTGTGTGCTTTCTGCTGGGCTCTGGGACAAAGGACCCTTCTCAAAGTCCTTGAGAGGAGGTACCCCCAATGTAGGCACCCTCTCTTCAAGATTTGCTACTTTTCCTGGGAACCTTCCTCTCCATTTTAAGACCTTATAACTCCTCCCTATACCATCCTGCCCTCAGAATTAAAGTAAGTAAATGAAACCATGTATTATAATTCTTACATTGACCTCTTTAATTGAGCTACGTTGACATTAGATGGTGCTAAAAACAGTTCACTGGAAAATTCAATAAATGACTGACTCTTGACAGACTAGTTGCTCATTTATTTTCCAAAGCGCTTTTGCTAATCCTCAAACTTTGTAAAGAAGGGGGGGGTGGAGTGGTAAGGTTTCCCTTCCTCAACCAACACAAGATGTATTTCGGCAAAAATGATGGCACAGTTCTTACCGACTCTGAGAATGATTCCTGTTGCAACCGCCGTCGGGTAGAGGAGGGCGTTTGTAGTTTTGCGGCATGGTTTCTCTTCTGTTAAGTGTTTAATTTCAGCTGTACACCTTCTCCTTTCAGTGGACGACGCCTTCTCACAGACAGTAAAGGAGATCTTCGGAGGCAATGCTGATAAGAAAAATCTAGTGGATCCCTTTGTTGAAGTTTCTTTTGCTGGGAAAAAGGTTTGTATGTGATCTCAATGCAGATGCTCGAGGACTAAATAATTAAGTCTTGGCTTGGGGTGAATTCCTGCTTAGTCATTGTTGAAATAGCCCCCCCATTGAGCTAAGCCCTCTCCTCTGAGGCTGAACACGCATCCCTTCCCCACAGGGTCCTTGGGGAAGGGGAAAGTATGCAGGGCTCTTTAGAACATTCAGTCTTTTGAAAGGTTCCAGAAATGAATGCAATTGTTTGTAGGTGCCACCGTGATTCTAAGTCACTTGTTGTTGTTGGGACTTTCGAGTGGGTTCCGGCTCGCAGCAACCCTATGTACCACAGAATAAAGCCCTAGCACACCCTCCCACGAGGGTGGCTGCCCGTGAGTCCATCGTTGGGTCCATCCATCTCATCGAGGGTCTTCCTCTTTCCCCCGACCCTCCCTTACCAAGCAGGATCTCCTTCTCTGCGGACTGGCTTCTCTGATCCCAAGTCCGAAGGACAGGAGATGAAGATTCTCCAGTCTTGCTGCTAAGGAGGCTTCTGGCAGTACTTCTAAGACCGATGCATTCATTCTCTGGCAATTTATTGAATTATTTGAATGATTTTCATGACAAGCGAATCCCCTGTCAGCCCTAATAACCTCTGCTAAATCTTGTAAGCTAGAATTCTCACCTTCCAAGAGAAATCCCTGGCCAAGAGTGTCTCGTGTGCAGCTAGCTACCTGCTGTCTACCAGGAGGCTTGTGTGTTCCTATAAAGGTGGAACAGCCAAGCTTCTAGCTCCTAGACTGAGATAAGCTAGGAAGATAGCCTGGCGATCTACTCCCAAAAATTAACCAATGAAAATTCTATAAATCCCAATGGTCTTGTTGGAAACAGATCATGGGGATGGTGCAGGACTGAGCACCGTTTTTTTCCATGTGTATGGGGTCATTATGAGTCAAGGCCTCCATGAGTCAGAGCTGACTGGATGGTAAGCAACAACAGCACCAACACAACCCCCCAGTCAAATTTCTCTGCTCCCACAACCCCAATGAGCTGCTGACACTGGTGAGTCAAGCAGAGAAGCCCCTAGCAAGTACTCAGGAAGAGTCTTGGTGCAGGGTCACCTATAACCACCTCTTTTATCTCTCACTATCAAAGATTGGACTCCCCAGTAAAATAACAATGCACCACGGAGAGTTACAGTATGAGCTAGCATCTCCTTTGTGTTTAAACCATTCATATTTATGAGAGCAAGACTTGGCAAACTATGTATGTGACTCACATCGTGTCCTAGGACAGACAGGAGAAGGTGGTGGGAGGCCTTCAGCTCTGGAGCAAGACCAGATTCACCCCACTCCACATGCTGGCAATTTCTTCAGCCTCAAAGTCTCGGTAGAATAGCAAGCATTTAAGATTGTTGAAAGGGTTAGTTACTTTGAAATTCTGTTCTTCATTTTCCTTCTGGGATCAGGATTCTTCTAAAGAATGCCACCTGATGATTGCACATCTATTGGATTGTATGATATGTTACTTATACCTCAATTAAAAAAAATATAAAGTAACTAACTAAATAGATATAAATACCATATGTACTCGAGTATAAGCCGACCTGAATATCAGCCGCAGCACCTAATTTTACCACAAAAACTGCCTAACAAATGTGCTGGAAAAACTCGAGTATATTTAGTAGCTAAAATCGTATTTTTTTTAAAGTCAATATCCAGTTTTTCTGATCTGAAAGCAAAGGTGGCAGTTATTCATTGAGGCAATTAGCCACACACTCAATATCCTCCTTCGTGGAACTTATATTCTAATAGAAGACATGGGCTAAGCAAGCAAGTAATTGAGTCATTTTAGAGAGAGGAAAGTACAACTTAGAAGATAAAACAGAAGATAAGAAGTGATATTGGTGCCAAGGTATGGATGGTTTGCTAGATAATCACATGGGATGCCTTTTAGAAAGTGACACTTGAGCAGGAGGTTGGGTGATGTGGACTCCCAGAGAAAATGAAGGCATCTTGGTGGCATAGTGGGTTATATATTGAGCCACTAACCACAAGGTCAGCTGTTCAAAACAACCAGCTGCTCCTCAGGAGAAAGGGGAGGCTTCTTATCCTATAGAGAAACCCACGAGAATAGTTCTACCCAGTCCTATATGTTGCTATGTCAGAACTGACTCGCTGTAACCGTGAGAAATATGTAACTAATAAAGTCAGAACTGGTAGAGTCATAATCCAGTATGCATATATTGTAAAGAAAGTGGAAAACTTGAATACCTACTGTTGCCTTTGGTGATTTTGCAGGTCTGCACAAATATCATTGAGAAAAATGCAAATCCAGAATGGAATCAAGTTGTTAATCTTCAGATCAAGGTCAGACTTTTTTTTCCTTCAGAAAAAAAACAAAACATGAGTAATTACTTTCATAGTTGCAGAACAAATAATAAAACATGCTAAGTTTTCTGTTTTGTTTTGTTTTTAACAGTTTCCTTCAGTGTGTGAAAAAATAAAACTAACTATATATGACTGGTGAGTTTTAAAAATGTAATTTTTGAATTATACATTTTTAAATTAAAGAATTAACCATTTGGATAATGAAGATAAACTCTTTCTTACAAGAAAAGCAGTACTCTAGGAAATCTCTTGCTAGTCAGTATATTTATTTTTCTTCCAGTGGGAGGGGTAAAACAGCTCTGGCACTGGATGTTTTCTTAAGGAATTTTAAGACAATAGTGTCGGTGTGGAAGCACTTTGAATTCCTTGGTTCCACTGCACTGGAGCAATAATATATATGAGGATATGCATAGATCTTAGATTAAGCAGCCTGTTGGGTATTTGTTTAACTGAGTGAAATCTATGGATTCTTTAAATGTATTCTAGATCCTCTGGATGGACATAGATGATTCAAACTCATGCCTGTGGTGTAATACACACCGATAATAAATTTTCCTCATTTAAACTGTGTTTAGTCATTCTCTATACCCAATATACTACTGTATGATACTTCCTCCAAATGTTGAGCCTCTCCTCCTTCCCATGACGTCTGATGCTTCACAATAGACATGCTGATGGATGGAGTAGAGAAGCAGAGGAATGAAGCGGAGAGTATATTGAGTAACGGTCACCTGATATTTTATACTTACTATAAGCATTGGGCTGCCAACATCCCTATGGTGGCCCCTCAGATATAGTCCGCTATAATTGTTTAGCAATCATAGTAATTAGTATGAACATGATAAAATGAGACAAATGTTATGTATCATATAAATCCAAATAAAACAAGATTGTACTTTATATGTGATTCTATTGCATCATGCACCTGTAGTTGACTTCCTCATTTTATGACAATGGTAGTGAATATGACCAGAGACAAAACAAGATTTCTCTGTCTCAGCTGTTTCACCTGAGTAGACCAGGTGTTTCTCAAAATGTGGTGAAGGACCCCTTGCATCAGAATCACCTAGGAAACAGTTGCTGGAATGCAGACACTGGTCCTCCTCCCAGGCTTCCTGAATCAAAAGCTTGGGCAGAAGATGAGGGGGAGGGCTCCTGGGTGACTCTTAAGTGTACCAAAACTTGATGCCAATTGGACAGGATGGGCTTTGAGGTCCAGGGTAGGAGATTTCCTACCTCGATGTTTTCATTATTAAAATGAACAGATACTTTTGTAGGCACAGGCCTTTACCTGTTCTTTTACACAGGGACCGTCTGACCAAAAACGATGTCATTGGAACCACGTACTTGCACCTCTCTAAAATTGCTGCCTCTGGTGGGGAAGTAGAAGGTAAGTTCCTGAGCAGAGATGGAGTAAGACAGGGCACAGGACTTTTGGAGATAGAAGGAACAACCACTTGGTGATGGGCTTTTTTTTTTTTTTAATAAAAGATTCAAATGTGAGAACCTAGTGAATCTTTTCAATAATGTTCCAGCTATAACCCCTTTTATAGATTGAACTGAATTGTGTCCCCATGAAGTGTGTTGTATTTCCTAACACTTGTGCCTGTGGTTATAATACCACTTTAGAATGAGTTGTCTTTCTTATGCTAAGGAGGCAGGAATAGTGTGGGGTGTATTTTGAATTCATTTCCTTTGATATATAAAGAAATATAAAAACAAGCAAACTAAGAATCAGAGATTCCAAAGCCAGTGAAAAGTGCACAGAATAAGCTCAAAAGAGACAAAGCGTTCTTCCCAAACCAATAGAGAGAGAGAGAGAGAGAGAGAGAGAGCGAGCAAGCCTTTTCTTAGAGTCTGCACCCTGAATTTGGACTTCTAGCCTCCAAAACTATGAGAAACTAAATTTTTGTTTGTTAAAAAAACAAACAAAACAAACCCTGTACTATCCATTTGTAATATATCTGTTATAGCAGCATTTGGTAATTAAGACAGGATTTGGTACCAGGAGTGGGGTGCTGCTCTAACAGATCCTAATATGGAAGTAATTTCGGAATTGGCAACTGGATGGAGGCTAGAAGAGTTTTGAGGTACCTAATACAAAAACCTTAGATTGTTTTGAAGAGGCTTGGTAGAATTATGCATGTCAAAGACAGTTCTGGTGAAGGACCAGAATGAAGTAAGGAAAGTTAAAGAGAAATTTCTATCCTCTTAGAGAGTATATGTGGGGTCAGCAAATGACTGTTGTCAGAAACATGGATGTCAAATATACTTCTGCTGAGCTTTTAAAAGAAAATGACAAATGTGCTTGGATAATGCAGAAAGGACAATGCTTTTTGTGCGGTGGCAAAGAAATTGTCTGAATTATGTTCAAATGTGTGGTGGTTCTCTGTCAATTGTTGCAATGCTTTGAGCCATTTTGCATTTAATACCAATGAGATTTGTATAAATGATAAAAAGGTCATTTGATTTGGATCTGAATTTGGGATTTCTCTGGTGTTGCTAAACCACTTACCGAGCATTGGATATGGTTAACTTTGTCGATGTCTCTTTTATATAATGCCGGTGTTTCTCTTGTTTAACCAATCATATTTTTACTATATAGATTTCTCATCTTCGGGAACGGGGGCTGCATCATACACAGGTTTATGCTTTGTAATTTTGCTGTCTACTAGATCATATTATCTGCTATTTTCCTGTTAAGAATATATCAACCGGTTGCTCTTAGAACCTTTATTTATTTTGTTTTACTGCTCAAAAATCATTTTATTTGAGTAATGCTTTTTGTATGAGTGTTGTATGGTTGCTACATGGCTTAGCTTAAAACAAACATGCTAATTAGGCTTTGCTACATGTCTCATGTTTTCTCCTAAGTTCAGCTTCATTGTAAATAATTATTTGCAAGCTATAATGTGCTTTGTCATTGTTTGCATTGAGTAGCTAGGGATATGGGGCACTGGGCCAATTGCTCTGAAATGAGTAACTTTCAACATGGATCTCTAGATTCGAAGATACTGATGTTTCTCAATTTCACCCTACGATCATCATTTCCTAATTGGCTCCCCAATTGCCATTGACACATTTAATACAATGCCAGTGATAAATATAACAATGTGAAAATCTATTTGAAAGTCATTGTTTTTTTTCATTGAATAGTATTAACTTTTTGTAGGATTAATATAAACTCACCTGAATTACCTCTAACACGTTTTTTAGCTTACTATTTTATAACATTAAGAAAAGAGATAAATATCAAGTATCACAAGTTCTTATAATTTGCACTAACACAGCTAACTCAAATAGTCTTATCCAGCTAACTAAGAGCTAACATCTATTTCAGTAGATTGAGTGTGAAAGACCCCAAGTCTAACAATAGTGTCTATATTTCAGCAAATACAGGTGAAACAGAGGTGGGGTTTGTTCCCACATTCGGACCTTGTTATCTGAACCTTTATGGAAGCCCCAGAGAATACACAGGATTTCCAGACCCTTATGATGAACTAAATACTGGAAAGGTCAGTTTCTCAATTAAGATTGTTATTAAGGAGCACCAAGTAATGTAAGTCTTCTTATAATAGTTACAACTCAGGTCCATATTTTAGGGACTTGGCCCCACCCTATTACTGACCATAGTGTGAAAGCATAGACGTCTTAGAATGTAAGCATAGGAAAGGATCCTTATGGTGATCTAATTTGGTGATGGTGAATGTATAGGGGGCCTTTCTGCCCATTCCTACACTGATGGTAGACATCAGTAATCAGTGCAGCCGCTCTGTCCCAATAAACCGCTGTTCTCTCTGGATATCTGTTCAACATTGTGTTCTAGGGATTTACTAAGTGATTGGAGGTGATGTGCCTGGCTAAACCTTTCAACTATCCCAGAACTTTTCTCCACATTTGAAGCCAAAGTAATGTGTTTTAGTTATCTCCCAAGAGGGGAAAAAGTCCTGGGAAGGAACAGTGGAGGTGGGAAACCCCTCCCTCCTTTCTAAAAGATTCTATTGGTAGTACAACTGGGAAGGAACAGATGGTGGTAGCTACTCGCTATGGTAAGGGGACTAGCCACCAGCTCACACCCAGCCAGATCACCTCCCCCTTTCAATTCCTGGCTTCTCAGAGAGTTTCCCTTGTTACCAGCAAGGCAGCTTTTTCCGTCTGACAAGAGGGGAAAAGTAGCCAAGTTAACACTGATATGAAGAGAATTGAAGGTAGCTGAGGGAAGCCTGGAGTCCTTCCCAGCTCCACCTTAACCTCTGATTCACAGAATAACTTGAAAATGTACGACCTTAGTCAGAGCTAAGGTCCCTTTTAGCCCTGGTATCCCACATATCCTTCCTGAAGTCAGTGATTCTAAATACCTGAATCCAGCTGGGAAAGTTGATTACTCATTTTGGAGGCTCCCTATTGCTGTCAAGTTAATTCCAACTCATAGCAACCCTGTGAGACAGAGTAGACCTGCCCCATGCTTCAGAGGACAGCAGTGAAGCTACAGCTCAGAG